GTTTCCTGTAAAAAAGCAAGTTGGATGTTGTGATCTACCAGAAAATTATACAAGCGATTTCTTTTCTTATTAGTATTAAGCCCCTGAGTATTTATAGATAATATATTCAACATAGAAAAGCGTGAATAATATCAAATAGAAAACTCCTGCTCAGAGTAAGAAACAACACATAAAAATAAAAATAAAAACAAATTAACATAAAAACGCTTTGATAAGGGAATGTATACCAGTCCATCATCAAGGCACAACAAACAACTATAAGTAAATATAAAACGAATGAATCCATTAATGCCCATGAGGGCATAATGAAAATAATGTAGTATTACTACACCAGAGGGGAGACTCTGTATCGTGACCGCGGAGCCTGCATTCGGAACAGTCTCCCATTAGTATATACCTTAGTTATCTAATTGGAGACTAAATCCATGAACAGATCACAGATGATCAAATAATTCTAAATCCAGACCTAGTATGTCTGTCTTCATAGGCTAACAAAATTCCCAAACATTCCTTGACAGTACAAAAGTTGCATGAAAATACCTAGTAGCATAAATAGCCGCAAAAAAAACCCAAAAAACGATTTTATAGTATATACTGTTATACAGTGACACTTTACTTTGTTACATTTATTTTGCCCATTATTGCCACACTTCTATTACTATATCCGTGCCTTATTCACATTATAACCAGATCTTGTGAACATATCTTATATAAATGATCCAACGTGTGGACCGTCAATAACTTCACTAGTATTGAAATGTGATAAATTTTCCTTAAAGCTTTCTCCAAAATTTCTGATTATCTATATCATAGTGTCCTGTCAAGCACTCAAAAATGAGTTACTTAATTATTTTACAATTCCCTGTAGTACACCAAATTTTATAAATAATTACTTCAACCTAATTTAACTTGTTAGTGTTCCTTAGACACCATCTCAAATATTGAACACTAATGATCATCTTATTACAAAACAATAAAATTAAACATATATAAAAATTAAATCTAAATCTTCCAACATATATCTCATCAAATTACTTCACTATTAAGCAAATGGAGGAATTTTCCTTATAGTGCATTCTCTAATCAATCTAGTGAGCTTAAGCTTAACATTGTGCGGTGTGTATTATAATTTGTTTAGTTTTTCCCTATAATTCACCAAAAAATTATATAATATTGATTCAACTTAATTTAAAAGAGTTAAAAAAAAAAAAGATATCTGTTTACATATCTACACCAAAATTTTGTTTCTTTTCAGCCAATCCGTTAATTTCCCATTTGAATCAAACACTTCCCTTTTGCCCTCATACGACAGGCTCAATTTTGAAGGAAAAAGCCACCTATATCTTATATTTTGAGATCGTAAAATTTGGGTAGCAAAGCCAAACTTTTTACGTTGGGATCAGGTTTCGAATGATAAGTCCTGAAACACCTTAACATTCTGGAAAGGACCTGAAGAGACCGGATTTAATCTGGCAGCTTTTAAAATCCTTTCCTTGAAATCAAATGCAAAAAAACAAACCATAATATCATGAGGTAAATCATTCTGAAGTGATTTCGGTTTAAATAGTCTATGACACCTTTCAATTAGTTGTTCTGAAGGATTGTATGTAATTCCCAGGGCTGATATATATTCGATCACGATTTGTTTGGCATTGTCCTGAGTTCCCTTCTCCGGGAGATTTCTAAAACGTAGATTTTTCCGCCTCGATCGATCTTCCAAATCACTTACTTTGAGTTTGAGGTCTGAAATTTTACGGAGTGCCAATTGATAGTCATCATTCAGGTGATTTACTTGGAAGTCCATATCTTTTAGTTTAACCTCTAAACCGTCCAATTTTGTTGTCAAGATATTTATTTCCATTTTTATATCTGCTTTGATTTCTGTAGCCATTACGGCTAATTCAGATTTTATCTCTTCTAAATTGGCTTTTAAACTCGTATGCAACAGAGAAATAGTAATCAATTCCTTATCAGGATTTTTTATACCTTCTGACTCCATACTCTCTGAACTGAGATCCATATCAGTCATCCTATGCTTTAGAGTCTGGTGTGGCTGAGGAGAAAAGTATGTTGTTAAAGACTTACCCTGTGTCTTTTCATGTGCTTTATCTTGTAAAGGGACTTTTTTGTCTTTCCTCGTAGAGCATTTTGTTTCATATGATTTTTTCATGGCCAAATAGTTATCAAGCCCAAATAGTTGAATAACTTTCAAATACACTCAGTGGCCTCAGAATGGCTAACAAGTATGAGCAATTGCAGAAAAAAAGCCGAAAACTAGGCACACTCAAATAATTCGATAGTAGGGCTATAATAACCTAGGCCAATATATAGTATATATAAGTTATCTGTCCACAGCTGTCTTAAGCCTAGTTCCTCAATAGCAACAGTGGCGGCCAGGAGCCATCATGGTGGGTACATCAACCGAGTTCGTTATAACTGCAGCAGCTCGAGATACTGACCGGACCGGACCGGAGCCGGTAGCAAAATACTCGCAGTACAGCGCCAGGTAAGGTAATCTCTTTGCGGGGGTCCGGCACGCCTCGAACGGGTCCTTCCAGGCAAAGCAAGGCCTGGCTAACGAAGAAAAGCCAGCGAAGACTCCGCTCACGCTAGGTCTTGGCTGGTCCTCCCTCCTCTTCCATCATCACGGCGCACGAGCACAAGCGTCAGCACGTGCGCACATCATGAGGCGGTGTATTTTAAGGATAATAACATCAGCTTTGACAATAAGCTTTGGGGAAAATAGTTTGACTATTATAAAGAATAAACTATTCAAGCTTTATGTAATTTAACAACACTGGCACTGATGCTTCTGAAAGATAAACACGGATAATAATACTCCGAAAGTGGCCCTAGCTATAATGAATACTTTAAAGAAGCGATATTGACTCTGTCCTTTTCCCAGATCCCGATGGCCGACCTGATACCTTGTTTTCTTTGTTGTACGTCTTTTATGTAGTTTTGTGTATATTGTAATGTAATATTTATATTTTGTGTTTATCTTATGACACGACTATTTTTCTTTAATACTTTTTTAATTTGCAAAATTTTAATAAAAAATGTATTAAAAAAAAAGAGTGTTGAGGGAACATTGAGTGAAACCAAAAATAATTTTAGTATGCGGGGTGTCAAAATACATTTCCACCTCTGATTACATGGTACAAGTTTGAAGACATTTGGGGATATTTGTATCGGATATTCTAAATTGTCTTGTATTCATTTATTAATAATTAATCATCAAATCTTGCATATTATTGTTTTCCTAGTAATTGTTACAGAGTTAAACATGTTTCTTTCTTAGAGTATTGTGTTAATGTCATTACCAATACATTTCCACCTTCTTTTCCCATAAGACAAAGAAGATAATCTATACTGTGGTCATTTTGAATTCAGATTCTTTGTCTTTGATAAGCTACAGATTCCAACCTTAGAGGAACACTATATGGTCAGAAACACAAACATGCATTCCTGGCCATATAGTGTTAAAAACACCATCTACCCCTCTTCCCCCTCCCCCCTTGCCTCCCTAAATATAGCAAATCTTACCTTTATTCCAGTCTGCTGCTGCTGGCTCTGCCCCTGATCTGCCTGCTTGGCTGACATCAACCTGAAGGGACTGATTATACTTACCAGAACAAATACAACAAGCTGTAGCTGTTATTGGGGACTATAGTATCCCTTTAAGATCCTTTGCAGACGCTTTATGTTGACTTAAACCAGCTGGTTTTCTTCCCTGTGTTTCTTCACTATATAATTCAAATTTGTTTTATATACTTTTTTTTTTATTAATAACTGTATTAAACATCACATACTTTTTAAACATATATTCCAATGTTTTTGTCTTCTTTCTCCATGAACATTCAAAACAAAGATAGTATATAATATACTCTATTTACAGACAACAATACATTTGAAATAAAACAAAACTTTTTTTTTTTATAGAGTTGTATTTGTGGTGTTTATTTATGCCACAGTTTAAATCATTACAATCATTACAGATGTTGACAGTCCTGCCCAAAAGCTTACAATCAAAAGAAATGTTCCACAGAAAATAAATGTTAAATATTTATTTTTAATCTACAACTGTCAGAATATAAGAAAGCATCATTAAATATATTACTGTCTGTCTGCATGTCCTTGTGTCATAGTAGAAATAATTTGTCCCAAGAAAAGATTAATTGTGTCAAATTTTACAGAATTTATTATATATATATTTTTTTATTCTTTATTTTTGTAATGACAGTTACATTGTGTTGGCAATTCAGTTTGTGGCTTGCGCAGAAGCCCTTCGGTTGACAACTGCAGTTGGTAACTGTCTATTTTTTCATATTTAATATACATGTATAACATAACTTTCATAAAGAAATGATAACATTATTGCTAAGTATGTACATGTGTGGTGTGGTTTGATGTGGTTGTTAAGGTGTGCGTGTATGGCTTTGGTTGCCAATATCCTGTTTTATTGTTGCGTAAAAGTTTCCCTGCCTGGTTCCTAATCCCTGTGAACACTTTGTGTCTCTGTGACATGGAGCTGTGTAGTCTTTCATGTTTCACTCTTCCCTCCTCTCCCACCCCCTCCCAATAGGTCGGTGTTACACATCGAATTGTTCCCATAGGGCCCAAACTTTTTGGAAGGTGGTTGTGGTGTTTCGGACTTGAGCTGTCAGTTTGTCCATTAGGTAGTTATGTCTTATTTTTGTCTGAACTAGTGCAGGAGGTTTCTGGTTTTAGCCAGTGCTGTGCCAGCACTCTACGTGCTGCCAGATTTAGCATATTAAGCAGTCTCTGTTCATATTTGTCCAGTCCGTTGGTTGGTCTGGATAGTAAGCACGCCCATGGTTCAGGGGTTAGTCTTTTTTGTAATATGCGGGAGTTCATGTTTGTCACTTCTTTCCAATATGCGCAAATTTTGTTGCACTGCCACCACATATATATATATGTGACCTTTTCACCACACAATCGCCAGCAGGTGTCTGTGGGGCAGAGACCCATGTGGCTTTGTTTGATCGGGGTGGTATACCACCGGAATAGTGTTTTATACGCCTGCTCCTGAAGTGTTATGCATATGGATACTTTTGAGCATGCTTCCCATATATCTTGCCAGTCTGTCCCTTCCAGGGTTTCTCCCAGATCTGCCTCCTATCTGTCCGTGTAATGTAGCTTATCCCATTCCCCGGATTCCGCCCCTATGTGGCTGTACAGTAGTGAGATCAGTTTAGCGGGCATGTGTTCTTTGAGACATATGCGTTTGAAAAAGGTCAGCTGTTTATGTATTGCTGTCTTGACTGTTGTGGTTTGTGCAAAGTCACGAATTTGTATATAACGGAAGAAGTCTCGGTTTGTCAGGGGTGCAAGGGATTTCAGGTGTTCGTAGGTGACGAGTTGGTTTTCTTTGTACAGGTGTGTATATCTTTGCACTCCCGTGGCCTCTATTCCTTTAAAGTCTACGGCTCGCATTCCCGGTGGGAATGCTCTGTTGCGGAGTACGGGTGTCATCGAGGAGGGGTTGTTCATAAGTGTTTATTTCTGAGCTATTCGGTCCCATATATGTATAGAGTTTAGGATCGCTTGGCATGTGGTCCTAAGGAGTGCCTTATGTTTCCTGGGTGTCCATATTAAGAATTGCGATAGGTCGGCGCCAGTCATTAGTGATTCTATGTTTACCCATTGGCGCTGTTCCTTAGGGCAGTGCCAGTGTGCTATTTGTGCTGTTTGTGCTGCTAGGTAGTAGTGATAGGAGAATTTATTATTTTTAAGGGTTGATATTCCGTGATATATTAAGCTATAACAAGTTTAAAGAGTCAATCTTAACATCATAACAACTTTGCATAATTGCAACGTTTTGGGCGCAGATATGACCCTGAACGAACCCTCTTAAAGTGAGTTATCTCTGCAATGATTTGTAAAAAATCACTGTAGCTGTAAGCCTGCCCACCACATCTGTCACTCAGGCAGTTGGAAAATTCAGTTCCAGGCTGCCTGTGTCAGTGTTGCCCGTATTGTTCAATGCCTGCAGTATGTGCACGCAACATCTTGTACCAGGCTCGTGTTCATTCCCAGATGGAGATAAGAGCAGATAGATCCTGATTCATAAATCACTTTCTGCTGAAATAGGGTCTGTCCACTACTGTGTTCTGCAAGTGTCCGTAGCAAGTATTAGGAATTTTAAAATGGTTATTTTTTATTTCTTTCTTTCTTTCTTTGTTTGTTTATTGCTATTTATTTATATTGTTGGCATCATTTTCTTTAGTCTATTATCTAAATACAGTAATGCATTCTGAAAAGAAGGAATCCTTAATCAAGTATGAATTCCCTTTAAGGTAAAATATTAGATGAATTCAATTTTAAACAAGTACATTACTCTTTTTTAAGGCCTTAATAAAAAACATATGTTCCATATATGTTTTATCATTGCGTACTTTGCTTTCTATCACTTCCAGGTATTCGATAACAAATCCTGCATCTCTCAGAGCCTCCTCTACAGACTTTTTATCAGATGCTAATGCATGATATTTGCTCCCACCTAAGGTGTAATATTTTGCGTTATACAATCCAATTAGCAGTAAATACCCACCCAGTATTAGTATTTCTGATACTTTTTTCAGGTTCCTGCGGTAATTGTCGTGGTCTTCACAAACCACATCGAAAATGAACATACTGAGCACGCAGTCTGCTTTTGGTAGAACGACTGGATCTGTAATATTTTCCTTGGTGAAATCACATTTTAAAATGTGTGAGATATTTCTTCTTAAAGCATTTTCTATTTCATTGCCCTTGAAGCTGAAAAAAATAACCAGATGGCAAAAGGTTTAATACATACATACATACAATTAAAACACATATAACACGTGATCTGTGGCGTTTCTTTATAAGGAGCATTGATTTGATTGTTTTGTTTTTACTTATTTGGGAATTTTTTATAGAATGACATCTTTCCGTAATCCCCTAATAGAGCTAGCAAATTTGGTAAAGATTTCTCCGGGTGTGTTAAGAACAGGAGAACATCATCCTCGAAGAGGGCTATTTTTTGAACTCCTATTGGTGTAGCTAGGCCTTCAATATTTTTGTCATTTTTTATGTGTCTAATTAGGGGTTCCATACATAAAATAAAGATTAATGGGGAGAGGGGACAACCCTGCCTGGATCAGTTTGTTATTTGAAAGGGTTGTGATAGAAACCCAGAGTTAAATATTCTGGCAACCACTTTGGAGTATAGGGCCATTATGCCTTTCAGGAATTCTGAGGGGATGCCTATGGATGTCAAAACAGCCCTCATGTAAGCCCAATTTAAGCGATCAAACGCTTTTTCGGAGTCTAGGGCTAACAGTACGCCTCTTTGGTTAGTTTTTCTGAGCCCATGTGATTAGGTTCAGAAAGTGTCGCGTATTATCCCCCGGCTGCCTGTTCGGGACAAAACCTGCCTGTTCTGGGGAGACCAAATCTTGTAGGAAGGGTTGGAGGCGGGTAGCTAGTAATTTGGCGTAAAGTTTTGTGTCTGCATTCAGCAGTGAGATGGGCCTCAGGTTAGCGCATTCAGTGGGAGGTTTGCCAGGCTTAGGGAGCATAACAATATGGGTTAGCAGCATCTCCTCCGGCATGGATTCTGAGTCCCTAAAGAAGTTAAAAAGGTCTGTGAGGTGTGGTGTGAGCTGTGCCTCGAATGTAGAATAAAAGTGGTTAGAGAACCCATCCGGGCCCGGGGCTTTATGTTTGGGTAATTTGTGTATTGCGTTTCGTACTTCTTCTTCTGTGAATTTAGCTGACAGGATCGAGCTTTGTTGGGTGGTCAGGCGTGGCAGTGTTGCCTCTTTCAGAAAGGTGTCTATGTCCGACTCTAGTGGCTGGTGTAGTGTTTTGTCCTGTGTAAGATTGTATAGACCAGTGTAGAAATTCGCCAATTCGTTCACTATGTCTTGTGGGTTAAATAGTTTTGACCCTGTGGATGATGTCATATATGGGAGTTTGGATTGTATGTATCGGAATTTTAGATGCTTTGTGAGCAATTTGCCTGCCTTCTTCCCTTGCGAAGCTGCCTTTCCATGTTTATCAGGGACAATGCATGTAGCCTTTCTCTTATCTTTTCAATTTGTTGGGATAGGGTTTTAGTTGGTTTTAGTTTGTTGTCTCTGTCTAATGTTTTGATTCAGTGTAGGTCTTCCGCTTATTTATCGCTCCTGCCTGGATTATAAGGCCTCTTAGTACGGCTTTGAGGGCCAGCTATTTGGTGTCTATGCGGGAGGGGTCTGTTTGGTGGGTCTCAAAGAACGATGTTATGTTTGCGCGAATTTTGGTGGCTGTGTTTGCGTTATCTATGAGAGATTCGTTCAGGCGCAAAACACTGTGCCCTCGGGCTAGGTACAGAGCTCTGAATGTGGTAATTACCGGCGCGTGGTCAGACCAGGTCCTGTCACCTATTTGCACTTCTATAACATTGGGTAACGCGATCTTATCTACCCAGCACATGTCTATGCGGGAGTAAGTGTGGTGTACCCGTGAGAAATAGGTGTAGTTTTTCTCCTTCGGGTAGAGAATGCACCATGAGTCATAGAAATCGTATGTGTGAAGCAGTGTGCTAAGGATAGCGCTCATAGTGCTGGATTGCTGTAGAGGGAGCTTACTTTCGGTGCGCTTGATGTCTAGCTCAGGGTCTAATGTGCAATTGAGGTCTCCACAGATTATAGTGTGTCCTACCCGGAGGTTAGTAATCTTATTTAACGCTCTCTTAATGAAGGATGTTTGGGAGTTGTTAGGTGCATATATGGATGCAATCATGAGTTGCATTCCGTTCATTGAGCCCACCACAACGAGGAGCCTGCCTTGCTTGTCTGCGTATGTTTTGTCGGGGTGGAAAACCCAATCTACATGGAACAGTATTGCTACCCCTTTTGTTTTGTTTGGTGAAAGGGCATGGAACACCTGTTGGTATCTAGAGGAGATTAGACTGGGAGGGTTTCTCTTACACATGTGTGTCTCTTGGAGGCAAACTATGGCTGCCTGAGATTTGTGCATAGTTTTAATCACAGAACTTCTTTTGAATGGGCTGTTCAGGCCATTTACGTTCATGGATAAGCATTTAAATTGGTATGTCATTTTTAGTGAAGAGGTTTCGGAGCCTGTCATCTAATATAGAACACTTTACATTAGCGAGTATGGACCTTATGATAAGCTGAGGAGCGGCATTTAGCTGGATATGCTCTGGTGCCTAGCGATATCTTGTATAGTTATAAGTCATTGCAGCTGCCGGGTTGATGGGAAGGGGGATAACAGGGTTAAAATAAGGGGTACAAAAGTAAACAAACACAAGTATATACAGTATCTCTCTGATTTGAGAGTATAGCATGGGATCCAGAGGGGAGCCTTTGAGCTCCATGTTCCTCAAAGGTTCCCTGTGGGGGTCGTGCGGAACAGGAACGCACCCGGGCCAGATTCTAATAGTAGGCAATTCTGGTAAGGGTAGATGACATGGGTAATGATGTACATAGACAGCAGTCCCACCTTCGTCCGGTATGGGCCGATAAGGCAGTGTAACAGGACATGGTCAGAATTCTTGTGATGGCGCGTCAGGGTTTTTTTTTTGTCTTTTAAGTGATTGCAGATATTTCTCGGGTCTTCATCCTCGACCCACTGGAAGCGACACAGCTACCTTTGTAGTATGTGTCGTTAGTGGAGGGGGGCAGGTGGGGGCCCCGTCTGTGGTATGTGTTGGGGATTTAGCTGTGGTAAGATGGCTATCGGTGTTGATTATACCCACATTAGTTACTTAACAGTTTAACTTAGTGTTGGGACGGCATACCACCCCCACTGGCTATTTACATTATATGAATGTATGAGATACAGTACCCCACCGGTTACCATATGTTAGGCAAATGCGTATCATCTCCGTTTAGAGCTAAGCACATAACACATCAATTTGGGGACCGACGTCAGTGCACACCGGGTCGTAGAGTGGCAGCGTAGGGGGAGCGTGGGCGTCTAAGAGCGGCGACCAAGGGGTGGAAGAAGCAGGGACAATAATGCTTAGGACGTGTAAGGGGGTTATATATATATATTTTTTTTTTACCCCTGTCAGTCCCCCTCCCTTGCTAAATCATTGCACTGACGTGGGTTCCTGATACAATACCACTTTTGACGGCTGGGGTCGACGGCCATTATCACTGCGTTGTCGTGTGGGCCTGGGTCGAGGTGTAAAGCCTTCAGGTACCAGTCCATGAGTGAGAAGCTAATGTCCCGAGTGAGTGCAACTACAGACAGTTAAGGTGTCTTCGTGTGACGTCGTGGAACTTGCTGTTAGGTGGATCCAGGGGGATGCTGTCTTTGACGGTGTCTTCTTTAGTGTTGCGAGCCAACCATCTGCCATTCGGACCGGGTCCTCTTCGGGGTGGCCGCAGAGTCCGGTTGTGTCTGAGTATTTTCAGGTGAGCCCCATAGGCCCCATTGCTTCAGTGTGGACAGACCTCCTATTGGGTCGTCTATAGTGTGGAGCTTGTTGTTCCTCCATATCATTAATTTTAGGGGAACCCCCAACGGTAAGCTTGAGCATGGTTGCGTAGGGTCTTGGTGATAGAGGAGAATTCTTTCCATCTCGCCATTGTGAGGGCCGAGAGGTCTGTGTATATAGAGACGGTGCTGTAAGGGTCGGGCAACGGTGACTTAGCCCTAGCTGCCTTGAGAAGTGCTTCTTTGGCTTTAAAGTAATGGAAGCGCACGATAATGTCACATGGGACTTCCGCTCCGAACCTGGGTGGTTTAGGTACGCGGTGGGCCCTGTCCAGTTCCCAAGTGATACTGGATAGATCAGGGGCCAGTGTGGCACTTAAAGCTGTTATATATGTGGGGATCTGGTCTGCTGTGACGGACTCCGCTACCTCCCGAAATCTTACGTTGTTTCGGCGAGAACGGTCCTCCATGTCCGCCATCTTGTGCCACAATTTGGTTTTGTCTTCTTCCAATTTTTGTAGTTTGTCAGCCAGTAGATTATGTGCCGAGCAGAGGTCATCTGTTTTACGTTCGACCTGGTTTGTGCGGTCGCCTAACTCCTCCAATTCCTGATGGATACCCGAAATGGCGGTAGTAAAATCCTCTTTAATTGTAGCTCTGAGGTCCATGAGCATTTGTTTTAAGTACTCCTTCGATATTTGGCTTTCATCCGCCGTTAATTGCGAGGGCGTCTCGTTATAGGCATCAGGTTCCAGAGGCTGAGCTCTGCTCGCGGCGCCATCTTGGGCCTGTTTCAGCCGCTCTTTTTTGTGGTGACAGACCGCGTCCGTTAGTTTTGTTTGCTTCGAGAGTGACATAGGAACACTCTTGAACTTCACCTCCCGCTTGATTTAGGTTATTTTTTGATAATTTGATAGGTAATCTGGCCCGGGTGGTGCGGAGCTCCTACTCCATGCGACCGATCTTGCCGGAAGTTGGACACGCCCCCGCTATTCTGGCTATTTGATCGTGAGTACCCCGCGATCACTTGGCCCAGGATTGTAATAAGTAATAAGGATGGCTGGGACGTTCTTTGCGGCCCGCTGGCATTTAGCACTGTTAAACTCCAACCATGGTCACTATTTCAGTCAGCTATAGTTGTTATGATGTAGTAGTGTCTTGATTGAAGTAGATTTCAGCTTTTAGGGATTTGATTAAATAAAGGGACACTGAAGACAGGGTAACAGGATAAAAATAATTTAAAAGCAATGTACCAAGGATTTATGACTGAAAATATTATACCCCTTGCTCCGCTGTACAATTGTTGATGTGACAAGTTGTGCTGCAAATCAATTTTCTTAAAGTGGCACAGTCTCCGTCGGGGAGGAGGGACAGGTAAGGTGACTTTTATTTACCTGAACCTATCCTTTGTGGAGGCTACCATCTTTCTCAGTCTGCTCTTTGTCAACTCTTGGTATTTTAGTGCCAACATCACTGCTCTATTAGCACTCATGCATGAGAGGACAGCAGTGAGACATTTGGCTGGTCTGTCAGATCCTCCATAGACACTGACAATTCTCTGCAGCTGTGGGGATTGGCACTTAGACCCACCCTGAGTTTAAGAAAGTCAGGCAGGGGAGAGATGGAGAGACAAGGTACTCCTTACTGAGTCTCTGTATATCTATTGACTGGGATGGAAAAGGCATGATGAGAGCTGTATCTCATAAGCGCATGTAGTGTAAATGTATTCATTACTATGATACAATATTCCTGAAGGTTTTGTTTTGGTGAGATTAGGAAATGTATTGCTTTGGAGCTCTGTAGTGCACTCATACACACCGCTCATTGCTGATTTTGCTTTTATCTCTATTGAGCTTTGTGAAACACTCATACACACTGAGATTTCAATTTACAGTGAGTTTTATTGTTTGGGATCTCGGTGATACTGTGGGGAGGTGTCATCAAGGTTTGTTTTGGGCTCAAACACCTGGTGTCCTTAGAGCCTAGAAACCCAGCAATGTCCCTGTCACAGACACTTCCAAAACAAGTTGATCTATGATGGACAGATCAAAGCCTCCCCACCTTAAAGAGGGGCATGATACATGAAATAAAATAAATGTCTGAACTTTACACTCCTTTTGCAGAGACTGGTAGCAGGATTTCCAAAAAAATCAACCTCTTTATTTGATATTACAAAACATAATAATGAAACAATAATTAGGCATAACCTAGTATGTAAAAAAAACACACTAAATAAACACTTTACACCAAAATAATGGCTCTTCAATAGAATTACAAAGCTCAGACATAATTTTACTGATTTTGTTACCAAAAGCATGTTAGGGCTATGCACACGAAAAATAATCTATTTGTTCATGTTTTTGTAACTCAAAGTTAAAATGTTATCATAATAAACTAACTGCACTCTCCATTGGGGAAAATGTGGGCTGTTTCTGTATTATTTCACTAATGATACATTAAGAATCAAGGTCAGTATAGCCGGTTTCATCCATTCTTTTGAACCGTGGTAATATATATGTGACAGAGAATATAAATAATAAATGAATGGTCAAAAAAAAAAAAATCCAGTCCCTGATCTGATACATGGATGGGTTTGTCTTCCTGTTACCTATTACTTCTCTGGATACCGTTAAAAAATATATGTTTCAGAAAGGTTTGTAGTCATTTGCCATCATTCTATATAGTATATAGTCATCAAAAACAACAGCAACTTGATCCTTACCTTGTACCTTGCAATTCTGACATAATCGATAAGGCATGAGTCCAGTCATAGCTTTCGGACTCCTTATTCTTCCACTTCTCTAGCTCTTTCACACAGAGATCACTAAATTCTAAAATAGTGATGTCTCTGAAAAACTCAAAAATTGGCAACAGGTGATAAATATTAGGGCCAGCAGAAATGTCAATCAAACGTTCTCCTGTAATTTGACCTGCGGAGAAAAAGACCCAAGATAAAAACAATTTATACAACAAAAGCAAAAAAATAATTCAAAATGTTTTTCCTTTGTTTATATTCTGGTTCTCACTTGGATTTAATTTAAGAGCTGACATTTTTTCATACATGTTGAATATCAAAAATGATTACTATTAAATATGTCATATTTATTTATAAAATATGAACTTGCTTCCACGATTCTTGTATCTGTTTCAAACCCTCCCCATTCCGCTCTCGAGAGCAGATTTTAAAAAGCTCCAAATGCACATAGACAAATTCATTTGAGCGGGAAAAAGAGCTAGAATAAAACGTATTACTCTGTACATCCCACACAAAAAAGGAGGGCTGAGCTTACCGAACCTCTGGGAGTACCACCAAGCATCCCAAATTGCCCAAATTCAAACCATGCATGCCCCACCAGGGGTAAAACGGTGGGTGGACCTGGAGCATGATCTCTTCGGACGCGATCTGCCAACACTCTACCTGTGAATACCAAAACCGCACAGACCACAGCCGCCAAACACGACACCAGCCCTCACGACGGCCATTCACACTTGGAACAGAGTGACCAACAAGTACAACCTAATAAACACGCCCTCACCCCTAATGCCCATACTGAGAAACCCTCAATTTACCCCGGGAATGGCACCCAAACACTTTATACGCTATGAGGATAACGAACTCACTAGAATCTGTCATTTTTACCACGATAACTGACTCATTCCCTTCCCGGACCTACCAAACAAAATACCATATAATACGTTCGATCATTTCCGATACCTCCAGCTCCGAAGCTTCCTATCAACCCCCAGCATAGCCGCAGCGGCAGTGCTGAAGCCAACAGCATTTGAAAGGGGTTGCCTAAGCAACCCGATACACAAGGGCCAGATTTCCGACATATACAATACCCTGGCACTTAAAACCCCCCCCGAAGCCTTCTCCTTTGTAAAAGCCTGGGAAAGAGACCTGGGACCCCCTGGGGACCTGACGGACTGGGCAGACATATGGGAAGCAACAGCGACGGTAACCATATGTGTGAACCACAAGGAGCAGGCATATAAAACTCTGCTCCAGTGGTACCTTACCCCCCTGAGACTTAAACAAATGAAACGCATAGACACGGACAGATGCTGGAAAGGGTGTGGCGAGAAGGGAACATACATCCATATGTGGTGGGAATGCCGGCACATAGCCCATATATGGACAGAAATGGCCGCCATCACCTCGAAAGCACTACAAACCGACGTCCCTCTAGACCCATGGACCTGGCTGTTGTCGAAACCATACGAAAACCTGACCCGAGCACAAAATAAGCTAGTAGCAAAGGTGGCCTTAGCTACACGTAGAGCATTCGTGACCCATTGGGGGAGCCCAGAGATCCCAGCGATCCCGTAGGCCCGGAGAAAGATCCAGGAGACTATGGAAATGGACAAACTGTCTGCGCTAATACACGAAAATACCAGATACTTCCACAAGATCTGGGACCCCTGGTTGGCATTGGAGTGAAACCTGTCTGGCGGGGGCGGGTGGGGGGGACGGAACAGACAACCCCCCTCCCCTCCACAACCCTCCGATTTCTCGCACCAACACCACCACACCACACACCCATGCACCCCTACTTGCCGAGACCACCCACCCGAAACCACACCCACAACAAACGCTCAAAAAAACCCTTTTGATCTGAACCCAGCGAACTCTCAGAGTTCACTCGAACACCACACAAAGTCCCAAGGACTCGTGGGCAATCCCCACCCGAGACGAGGGACAACACCCCCCCCAGCACCCACAAACCTATAGTTTAATACCCCCGAACCCAGAGGTACCACCGCATCACCTCACCCACAGAGACGGATGACCATAACAACGCCACCAGGAACGGGAACGCGGCTGGCAATGCGAAACCTCCACCCACCCCGTTTTTCCCGACCCCAAATAACCACAGCAGTAAGCATGAATGAAGAATGAATGCAATAGGATAAACTTCCAAACTGAAAGTGTAACCTTATCTGTTGAATTTTGTTATAACCCCCTTTTCTCTTCTATATCCCATACAATTGATAAGCTCATGAAAGACACATGAAAATTCAAAATAAAGAATTTACAAAAAAAAAAATATTTTACCAGGAACGATACATTGAGATTTCTTTCGTTTTCAAGTATATCCTGGGTCCACAAAACATTGCATTGATACAATAGGGTACAATAAAATACAAAAACAATATTAATACACAATATATACAAAATGTAAATAGAACAGGTAGGAAATATATAATCAACCATGACAGGTGCATTCTGTTTTGAGATAGGCTGAGAGGGATCTCTTAAAGAATTTTAGGCTTAGGGAAGATTTTAAAGTGTGCGAGAGGTCGTTCCATAATTGCGGCGCTCTGTAGGAAAAGGAGGATTGGGCTACTTTCTTTTTATATTGAGGTAGTGCTGGTACTGGATCAGAGGTTATAGGAGGTGAGAACAGGGGAGAGCATTCTGCTCAGGTAGGGCGGGAGTTTCCCAGAAAAGCTCTTAAACACAAGGCAGGAAAGATGAAGAGTGCGTCAGGATTCCACCAACAGCCAGTTTAGTTCTTTTAGCATGTCACAATGGTGGGTCCTGTAATTACATGGTAGCACAAATCAGCAGAACGAGTTATACAATGTATAACTTTTTTAGTGATCTCTTCCAACTCCACCTCTAAGTTAAAAACATGGCATTCCAATTTTTGAGGAATTAAAACTTCACTCAATTTACAAAGTTAAAAAAAAAAGAATGTAGATACATTATAGCACTATACACTTCTTTCACATATAACATATTGTCTCAGGGAATGTTTCCTATTTAAAAATTTTATATAAGAGTATGTCAAGTAATGTATGTAAATATATGAGGTTAGATACAGATGGTATACTAGGCAAGTTATTTTCTCTTCTTCATACATTGCACCTTGCCTTACATTAAATTATTACTGCTTTGTCTTTATTTCAGGTTCTTATATATATGTTGTTCTGTTTATACATTGTACAGCCTTGCAGAACTGCATAGCACATTTCATTAGGATGTGCGAAGTGTATTTATTTTTTATATAAAGCATACATTTATTAATTCTGTAATCGTAATGGATCCATTCGTATCATTAAACAAATGAAAGCTTAATGAATCCCTGTAACCTCTTTAACCACTTAATCTTACTGGAGTGGTTATGGTCCAAAGACCCTTTCCTTGCAGTCTCTCCTTTAAAAAAGTTTTGTTTTGGAGATAATTATCGTTCTTTGTTGCGTTGAGCTGCTTGCCGCAAATCCACTATGCTCTATGACTGCAGGGACTGCAGAGAGCCCCATGCCGTCACCCATTGCCAGAAATTGAGTGGTTAATTATGTCAGCAGCAGGCTGCAGAGGGCAGCTGTCTGCAACTCTCACTCATGTGCAATGAGAGAGGGGCATGATAGGGCCCCCTCCATCATTTACTAAAGCCCCCTCCACCATTGTAAATGAATACTCACCCTCACACAGTCAAGGAAATGGCTTTTTTACCCCTAACTAACTGGCAATGGTTGAGGGACATAGATGTGCACCAGATCCCCCATTAACCTCAGTTTTCCCCAGTCCCACAGCCAGAGGCGTAACTAGAAACCACCTGGCCGGTGCATAAAGTGTCCTCTGCCTACTCACGTGTCGCATTCCTCCCTCCCTCCATGTGTCTCATTCTCTCACACCCAACCCCTCCATTTATCTCATTCCCTTCCCTGAACCCCTCCATGTGTCTCATTTCCCCGGCTCCACATGTGTCTCTGATCCTCCCTACTCCTCGATGTATCTAATTTCCCCCTCCATGTGTCTTATTCTCTCAGTGAGCACTTTCTAACAGATAGCAGTCTGCTCAGCCACGCTACACACATAGGCAGAAGGGGAGCAGCTCAGCATGCTACCAATTTAACCACTCAATCATCAACAGAGAGAGATTTAAAATTTAGTCATTTGCAAGAACAATCTGGACAAACCAAATCAGGACATGATCTAAATTTGACTAATCTAAATCACCGTTCTTTGTCAGTATTAATTTGGAATAAACTGATTAAACATTACATGTAATACAAATGAGAATATGTAAAAAAATTAAATGTATTAAACAGAACATACCTTGCCCTGCCACTTTATAAAGCTGTTCAATTGGAAATCTCAGAGCCTCATCAGTGATACATTTTACAGCTGTTGCAGAATAATATGCATTAAACAAGTCTATTGGTTCCCATTCATGGAGATGATAGCGTTTGAGAGAGCTGGGGTCCATTCTGGTTGCCTGTGTTGTTCTATGATGATAATGTCACCAGCAAGCTGTTATATACTTTGTAAATTAACATTATCAGTTATAGGATCCTTTTGACTAACTGACATGAGACTTATCATGAGACAGTGCAAGTCAATATAAACACAGAAATATCACCATGTGCTCAGAACTTCAGCTGATCAAATAATTTATTTTTTAATGAATTGATCAGATAACCTCTTTAACCTCTTTAATATTATACTGGTCTCTTAGAGGGTTATTTACTAAACAGCAAAATGTGACTGTGACAATATTGGTATATTTATTAGTTATAGTCTCAGTTGCATTGTTGGCCCTAAGAAAAAAACGAGAGAATTAAGGCATTCAACAATTGTTTAGTAACATAAGGAGGGGAGAGAGAACTAGCGTTTCCATTGAAATGTCCAAGGTTATTTTGTTTTAAGATAAAAACAAAAAACCCCGGGGGATAATTAGCGTAAGCTAATTCTCATCCCTCAGCCAGGAGGTCTCCCAGGCCACATGGGTATTGGCAAGTACAGCATAATTTATGGCTCTCTATCCTTATGTTCGTATTTCCATTTGTGTAAATATTTGTAAATATATTTCCTCTGTGCTGTAGTCTTTTTAAGAAACCTGGGAACTCCAGAATAAAGTCAGTTGCTCTTGATTACATCAAGAAGAAGCTGGGATGTCTCTTTATGTGTTGTAACAATCTAAGGTCTCCTTCATAGCAGAATCCCTAGCAATTTTGGTTAGAATATCCTGTAATACCCGCAGCAACTCTGTAGTATATCCTGCATTGCCTGTGGAGAGACTACCAAAACTGAGTCTTAGCATTTAGTGGTGCAGGTTATGTAAAAAGAAATCCATGTTGTGATGAATTTATTTGTGTGTGCATGCATCTGTGTATGTCTGACTGTGTGTGTGCATCTGTGTGTATGTGTATTTGTGTGTTTATCACTGTATGTATATATGTGTGTATTTGTGTATAAATATATATGTGTATATTGGCTGTGTGTGTATCTATGTATCCATGTGTATACATGACTATGTGTGTTTCACTGTATATATATCTGTGTGTATATCCAACTGTGTGTGTATGAATGTATTTGTGCTCATCTATGTGTGTCTGTGTCACTGTATATATATCTGTGTGTGTATAAATGTATGTGTGTATATCTGTAAAGATGCCAACACCCCTGCCACCAATGTGGTTGCCGTACCTACCACCGAACTATAACCTGCACTATCAGGGTTGCTGCCACCACCATCACCAGCAGCTAGATAAGTGTGAGAATAGGCAGAGAGATACAAGTGGGGTAAGAGGGGTATAAGGAGATAGACACAGGTAGGGGAGGGGGTAAAATAATAGTGTGGGGTGGATAAGTATACAAAATGGCAAATGTGTAGAAGTGCTCTACGCACTACTAATAGTAATTAGGAGAAAAGAATAGACTACAAAGTGCACAATCACACACAGATGTACACACAAACAAACACTAACTCTAAATACTGCTACGCCACTGCATTTACACACAGGCACTCTACATAAATTCACACCTTAATTCACACATTGCCTTTCTACAAATACACAACACACCACACACATATAAACCTAATGTATCATTGCGGATTTTGCTTTCTATAACCTCCAGGTGTTCGATAATAAATCCTGCTTGTCTCACAGCCTGCTTTACTAACTCTCCTTCAGATGATAATACGTAACATTTGCTCCCACCTACAGTGTAATATTTCCCATATAATGGTCCACATAGCAATAGATGCCCACCCAGTTTTAGCATGCATGAAATTTTTTTCAGGATCGTGAAGTAGTCTTCTTGTTTTTCACAAACCGCATGGAAAATGAACATACTCAGCACGCAGTCAGCTCTTGGTTGTCACGTATTCATCCGCTTATAAAAATGTGGTTAACGGCATTTACTGTCCACACAGGAAAAGTTGTGCCGAGCAGCAACCAAATCCACAGAAGGGTTAATGCTGAGCAGCAATTATGCAAATGGGAACCTGGTAACTGTCTTTAGGGTGAAAGTCCAGTTACAGCCTATCAGATCTAGAGGAGGGGTATTTAGGCCCAGTTCTCATCCTGCTCAGTGCCCTGTCGTGGTTTCCCACGTGGTTGTCCAAGAGCGCGTTATTGATTTTGGTTATTCTGGTTATTCTGGTTATTTGACTTTGGCATTGTTTTTGACTTAACCTGTTTTCTGGCATCCTTGACTCCTGGCTTTCCCTTATCGTTGTGTCTCTTTTTGTATCCCTTGACCTCAGCTATTCCTGACTATTCTTTGGTACGTTAGTCCTGCCATTCTAAGGTCCGGTATACGTTACCTATCAGTCCTCTGTGTTATACAATTCTACGTGCTGGATCATTCTGTAATCCTGACATTACGACAGGGCCATAGATCCTGTAGAATTGTGTAAGCACATAGAGGCTTGTGAAAGGAAACTTGAGGATAATGATCACCACATGGATCAATTTGCCCAGGCCTTCAGTACGCTTCTTACCTAAACAGCGCATCTGCAACCTGCGGCCTCACCTCCACCTTGTGTACCTCCAGCTATAGTACACACGGCACCTACTATCTCCCTATCTCCTCCCCTGCATTTTGATGGTAATATTCAAGAATGCTGGGGATTTATTAACCAAATGGAGTATCATTTTGAGGCCTCACCGGGATCTTTTCCCACAGACAGAGCTAAAATTGGTTACCTAATTAATCAATTAAAAGGTAAAGCTTTAGCTTGGGCCAATCCATTATGGGAGAGTAATAGGAGTGTGGCACACAATTACCAGGAGTTCCTTGCAGAATTCAAACTTACCTTTGAACTTTTAGGCAGAGAGGATGATCCCTCTACTGCCCTGATGCACATCAGACAAGGTAACCGGTCTATCTCGGAATATGCCATAGAATTTCGTACCCTAGCTTCCGAGGTAGACTGGACTAATAGTGGGTTAATCTCAGCATTTAAAAAGGGATTATCTGAAACTATGCTAGATGAGATTGTCGCCAAAGATTTACCCAAAAAGCTTAATGAATTTATCACTTTTGTCATGCAGATTGATAATAGATTAAGAACCAGAGAAGCTACTAGAAACAAGGCCAGACGCATGAGTATGCATTTAGCACCCCATTACTCCAGACCTATTGTCTCTGAAATTCCTGTACAGTCCGAACCCGAACCCATGTAGTTGGGGGTCACTAGACTGTCGGAAGCAGAAAGACAATATAGGAGAAAAGAAGGCCTATATATATACTGTGGTAGGAAGGGACATAGGAGAAACAATTGTCCCATACATCTGGAAAACTGCTGCACCTAAGCACCTGAAGGGGACAGGTCTTAGGTGTAATGGAAACGTCCTCTGAAAAGAATAAAAATAGGTTTCTCCTTGACATTTCTATCGCCTTTGACAAAAAGAACTTCTCATGCAAAGCCCTGGTGGATTCAGGAGCTGCTGGAAACTTCATCGACGTTCAATTTGTCAAAGGTAATACTATACCTATCAAAGAGAGACCATCACCCCTAGCTGTTGAAGCTATTGATGGGAGACCACTCTCACAACCATTGATAACGCATGAAACCTTACCCATTAATATTTCCATTGGTGCCTTACATAAGGAAGAGATTACATTTCAGGTGATTGCATCTCCTTCTTGTCCTATTATATTAGGATCCCCATGGCTTGGCAAGCATAACCCTCATATTGACTAGGCTAATGGGGAAATATTAGAATGGGGTAAGGATTGTAATGAAAGGTGCAACTTGCATGTCACCAAAAGAGTGGGCACTACTGAATTACCCACTATTACACCTCAAAATCCCGAGATCCCTAGACAATACCAAGACACTAAAGAAGTATTCAGCAAGACTCAGTCTAATACTCTACCTCCTTACAGACCATATGACTGTTCCATTAACTTACTACAAGGTGCTATGCCACCTAAGGGAGCAGTCTATGCTTTATCTCCTCAGGAGAGTAGTGTAATGGAGGAATATATTAAAGATTCATTGAATAAAGGCCATATACGAAAATCATCCTCGCCTGCTGGTGCAGGATTCTTTTTTGTATCTAAAAATGGTGAGTTGCGCCCATGTATCGATTACAGGGCATTGAACAAAATCACCATTAAGAACGCCTACCCCATTCCTCTTATTGCTGAATTATTTAACAGACTCCATGAGATGCTAAACTATAGTCTTCTAGGCAAGCTAGGTGGTATCTATTTCTTTCTCGCTTTAATTTTCTTATCACCTACAGACCTGGTTCTAAAAATGTCAAGGCCAACGCCTTGTCCAGGCAGTTTGATACTGAGGCTATACTAGAGCAAGAAATGTCCCATATCATTCCCCCGGAATGTATCATTGCGTCCACTGTCCTTTCATTGTCCTCTCCATCATGCAGGCTCAGTCTCAGGCGCCCTGCGGTAAATCTCAGGACAAACTGTTCGTTCCATTGGGGGAAAGGGTTAATAACATGAAGGTGTTTCACGACAATGTGTCTGCTGGTCATCCAGGTATTAATAAATCCACTTCTGCTATCATGAGGTCATTCTGGTGGGATTCCCTCAGGAAGGATGTTAAGGAATATGTGCAGGCTTGTTCTGTTTGTGCAGTTTCCAAAGTGCCTCATAAATTCCCTTGTGGCTTGTTACAACCTCTTCCTATTCCTGAGGTCCCATGGTCCCACTTGTCCATGGACTTCATTGTTGAACTTTCTAGTTCTAACGGTTATACCACCCTTCTCATGGTTGTGGACCATTTTTCTAAAATGGCTCATTTTATTCCTCAAGAAATTGCCGTCATCTCAAGACCTGGTACTAATCTTCATATGAGAAATTGTCCGTCTGCATGGCATTCCTCAGAATATAGTATCTGACAGAGGTTCTCAGTTTGTGTCTCGGTTTTGGAGGGCCTTCAATAAACAATTAGGGATTGAATTGTCTTTTTCATCCTCTTACCACGCCCAGACCAATGGTACAGCTGAGAGGGCTAACCAGTCCTTGGAATTATATTTGCGTTGTTTCGTTAATAGCACTCAAGACAATTGGTCCGAATTACTGCCATGAGCCGAGTTTGCTAGGAACAATGCTGACCATGGCTCCTCTGGGCATAGTCCATTTTTTGTTAATAATGGCCGGCATCCTACTGTCCTACCGGCTGTTTTTTCTGATACGGCTATTCCTGCTTTAGATGACCGCCTGGCTTCCATCCGTGATACCTGGGTAAAAGTTCAATCTGCTCTGGGTACTGCTGTTGACCATTTCAAGCATTATGCTGATACATGTTGAGGTGCCAACCCTGTTTACCAAGTGGGTGAGAGGGTTTGGTTATCTTCTCGTAACATCAGGCTCAAAGTCCCTAGCATGAAATTTGCCCCTAGGTTCCTTGGACCTTTTCGTGTCCTTTGTAGGATCAATCCTGTTGCGTACTCTCTGGCCCTTCCGGCCTCCTTGAAAATTCCTAATACCTTTCATGTGTCCTTGCTCAAACCTCTTGTTTGCAATAAATATACTGTCTCAAGTGTTCCTCCTCTTCCCTTAGTTGTTTCTGGACAGGAAGAGTATGAGGTCTCCTCCATAATTGATTCCAGATTTTCTCGGGGCACTCTACAGTACTTGGTGGATTGGAAAGGTTATGGACCAGCCAATCGTTCTTGGGTTCCAGCATCTGATATACATGCTGGCCGCAAGATTCGCTATTTTCACGCCAAATTTTCTCTCAAGCCTGGTCCTGCCGTCCGGTGGGCGTTCTTCAGGTGGGGGGGTAATGTCACATATTCATCCGCTTATAAAAAATGTGGTTAATGGCATTTACTGTCCACACAGGCCGTATCCGGGATGTGGAATAGTACCTGGGGAGCTGGGGGGGTGCCGTTGATGTGGAGCGTGCAATCTAATGTGCCACCAGATAGGAGTGGTGTGTTTAGTACTATTGTTATCAGTTTAATCACTGTTACGTCCCGTATCCGTTGATGTGGAGCAAGATGCAGCAGCAGAACAGGACTCAGTCGAGGAGGTTATGGAAGATGAGCGTGAACTGCTCAAGGCGGGAGGCGGAGTGGCGGATGGTTGAGAGGGGACAAGGAGGACAGCAGTGGTTGGCGTGGCTGAAGATGCTGGACCAGGAAGAGGCTGGCGGCTTAGAGTAGGCGAGCTGCTTGTAATCATGTGTTGATCCCATAGGCGTCTGTGATGTGAGATCATGTGCCTACGCAAAGCAGTTGTACCTAGGTGGGTGTTGGACTTCCCACGACTCAGTTTCTTTTGGCACAGGTTGCAAATGGCATCGCTGTTGTCAGAGGCAGACACACAAAAAAAATGCCACACTGCAGAGCTCTGCAATGACGGCATTCTGGTGGTATGATATGAGTGGCACTGTAAACTGGCAGAGTACACGCTGTAGGGCTGACACACCCGCTTTAAGGACACTGACTGCTATTCAATCTATAACAGTGAAAAAAGTGTTTTTTGTTTTTAAATACAAGCTTTGTGTCACCAGATCTAAGTGGTGGCAATGGTCACCGTATCCACTGTTAGCGTAACACACCCGCTTTAAGGACACTGACTGAAATTCAATCTATAACAGTGAAAAAAGTGTTTTTTGTTTTTTAAATCCAAGCTTTGTGTCACCAGATCTAAGTGGTGGCACTGGTCACCGTATCCACTGTTAGCGTAACACACCCGCTTTAAGGACACTGACTGCTATTCAATCTATAACAGTGAAAAAAGTGTTTTTTTTTTTAAATACAAGCTTTGTGTCACCAGATCTAAGTGGTGGCACTGGTCACCGTGATCCACTGTTAGCGTAACACACCCTCGCTTTATGACACCTCGGACTGCTATTCAATCTAT